CGCGTTTCTCGTAATAAATTGATTGCCACGTTGTTGAAACTTTGTAATGATACCAAAATTATTCAAACGATCACCAAGGAAAGCCAAGAACCCTGGAGCATAGCTTGAAAGTCAAACCATTAATAAAAGCAGGTCAGTCATGTTAGGCAATCTGGTTGAACCCACACCATTTACTCAAGTCCGTAAACTTTTCACGTGGAATTCACAGTACAGAAGAGATCGATAAGAAAATCACCATGCAACACGGAGGAACAAAATAAAAGGTTAATTTGCATTTGGGAAGGAATGCCTTTTGTGACGTAACAACCAATGTCTTGTAATATAATTGTTCAAAAGCGGTAAATACTTTACAAATGAAAGCTATTTTGTCTATGCAAAAGCAATAATCTCAACAAAGTAATAATTGTTGTGATACGTGATAATCGACAGAAACTCGGAACAGCCTCAATATAAAATAAAGGATAATGATGAGTTAGCATTCCATGCATACCTTAAACACAATCAAAATATTTAACCCTCTTAAATTTTCAGAAGCAGATTCGCGGCAATGAGAAGCTAACATGGTTAAGGTATTTTAAGGAATCACTTCCTAAAAGTCGAAAATCGCTAAATTATGGCAGAAAAACCTGTTGGTGGAAATACTTCTGATGGAACTGATAAATAACAACACAGCGGTACCATGAAGGATGGATGACGGCACGACGCCTCAGCCGAAGTATGGCAATTCTTTGCCTGGCTTCACCTCAGGAACCAGCCGTTGACCGTGACCCTGAACGTGGCGTAAGTCTCAAGACTGGACTGACAGAAGCCCGGCAGATCAATCGACAAACGAAGCTCGGCAAAATGATCGCCGCTGTCGTTGAGTATGCGCACGATATGAAGGGATTTGAGCGCATCGCGCTGCGTGGTATGTGCATGATCCAGTCAGCTGGTCGGCCATTCGGAAGACTAGCCGCCAACCACCGCTTCGTCTATGATCAGCTACCACAGCCGCTGCCGAAGCCAAGAATAAACACACAGACACACATACACACCTACGACCGACCACCAAGACTAGGCAAGTATCTACAATTAGTTAGTCGCGCCTGGCGAAGCAAGTGGATTACGCAAAGCCGGCATCGGCGATTTAGAACTTTGGCATGGGACAGGTTTGTCAATGTATCGGACGGTGGTCACACACGCAGGTCAAGGACGACAGAGAAAATACGCGGCAATGCAGTCAAAGGTCACTGAACGACGCCGGATGGAATAACATCTTACAACCGAAGGTAAGGGTTCTAAAACCATCTCTATCTCATCCAAAATAATTCCAACAACTTTTCCGACAAGAAAAATTGCCTTTTACAATCCATCCGTGAATTATTGACCAATCGATCAAATCTGTGATGGTTATGTCGCGAAACGGCAGTAAATAATTCTAATTTATTACTGTTTACTATTTATACGCTTGTTGCTAATTTTGGCCAAAAGGAATGATCAATCGCTGGATACACGTAAACCGATTTGAAAAGACCGCATCAGACATTCGTGTTTGCCAACGAATCCCACAACAACACGAAACTAATTGAGGAGTCGCGCAACATCGGAACATCGCTTCGGTGATGCTAATTGTTCTTGCTCGATGCCCACCCTCGTTAACGAGGGCCGACATTGTTCAAGTAGAAACGATCGGCCGAAATCAGTCTGAAGTGTACTCTATTGGACAAATCTAAGGCTCGTCAAACAGTCAATTAAACAGCATTTTAGAAAACGCCATTCGACCCACTGATATTTAACACGTACCAATGGCAAACCACCACCATACTAGCACAAACGCCTAAAAATTCGAAACTAAGCATTTGAAGCAGCTTCGCAACAACAGTAGTGTAACCGTCCAATCCGACCGCCAATCGCCTGCCAACACTAAAGGCCGGTGAAGAGGTTTGCAGAAAACTTGCAACCATAAACCCTTAATTATGTTACTCTCGTCCTAAAGCGAGGAAGGAGAAAAATGCGGAATGAATTACCAAAGAGTCAGTCAAATACCAAGAAAACTATGCACGTTCTTTCACAGAAAATTAAACGCCGAACCTCTTCCAGAAGAGTCGATAAACGACACGAAGGTTGAAACTTTCGTTGCATAAAACTACCCACTGTCCACTGTCGGGAATCAGCCCTTGATGATTATAATGCAGAGGTTAAGGCAGGCAATTGATGGGAGACTTCGCCAAAATCAGGCAGACTCTTAGTCCGAGTGCTCTTGCTCCTATTTTTCACTCATTGTTGAGTAATGCCAACAATGATCCCGGTAACATTCATTTTAATTTTCCAAGTTCCTCCTCGTAAAGGGTTATTTTGTATGAACACATCGTTCAACAATGTGGAAAGTCTTCCAATGCCTTGGAATATGTGAGCAAATCATTTCCATTTTTAAAAAAAAACTATGCAGGAGCGAGGTCCAATGGTAATATAAGACAGTAATCTGAATGGTTCTGTCTATTAAGTGTGGAGTTCCTCATAGAGATATGCTTCTGAGTTTGCTATTGACCAGTATTCTCGACTTTTGCCCTTAAACAGTGCTGCACCATGGCAAAGACAACGGTCTCATTCTAAATGGGAAGGAGCGGTTAAAGATATCCAGCTAAACATGTTGTTGTCCATAAGTACGACGACCCTGTCTTGACGAA